TATGTTTCTGTATGCAAATTTTTGCTTGTTCTTAATTGATTAAATGATACATTTTTATTATGTGTGTTTTATTGTGTGTGTTAGTTACCTTGGTGTCCCTCATGAGAGCACAAGGCCAAGTATGCATTTTGTAATTAAATAAGTCAGCAGGTGCTATGTGTGTGTGTGGGGGGGGGGTTCTTGGCATGGTGCAGGTGGAACCTCTGAACCATTTCTCCTTTATTTCCTGAAAGGAAGTCTGGGAGAAGAAACATATTATCCCAGCTTCCTAAACCTGGGAATGACTTCTTGACCCCTTTTGGGTCCTCCTAATTTCCCTTGGGTTCATGTGCTTTAAGAGCCTATAACTGTTGGATTCTTATGGCACACATTTCTGGAAAAAATCCTTGTAAGAAATTGTCCTTGTCCTCTCTTTCTGACCCAACAACTGAATTCTTCAACTTGATGACAGAGTTGTCTTATCTAGATCTATAATATGTAGCGGAGAGAGAATTAGACAAGGAGAATTACACAAGGCCCTATGTATACTACTTTAGTGAGTCAGAATTTGGCCTGGAGAGGTCAAATGCTCAGGGGTTTGAATGGCTGGTTGTCTCTCTGCATTGCTGGTCATCAAATGAAGGCAGAAGATGGTTTTAGAGAGTCTGTAGAGTGCTTCCAACAAGCCTGATGACCTTCCGTTCTTTGTTTCCATTCTCCTGGCTACAAACTGTTCTAGCCAGGCCTACTGGTCTGGTAATATGAGCACCAGGTTTTCTACACAGAAATCAGAAAGAGAGAGCCAGGGAATGTTGTTGTGGAGTTTCCCTTTGGAAGATGTCACAGTAGCCATTCTCTCACATCAGAGATGGAACTTTCAGTCTACTCCATGCTTCTAGGGATTATGGGGAAACCAAGTGTCAGGATGCCATCCTCTCCTCAAGTTTAGAAAGTAATGGTCATGTGGAATATGAAGCTTGATGCTGCATTTAGGTTCCAGACACTCAGATTTATCATGATTAACAGATAAAGGGTACATTCAACAGCTTAACTGTTATCAGGAAACACATTACTATGCACCCATACATCTCGGCCAAACATAACTCATCTAATTAAAATTCTATTTTCTTAATATATCATTTTAATTTTTTTCTCTTTTCTCCCTCATGATCTTTGCAAAGGCCACTATGATTTTTAAATGAAATTTCAGTCATATAAAGGAACTAAGGAATGTATGCATTGCTATTATCATGACTGTTCTATTACAGAAATGTAATCTAAGGAGTTCATATATAACAACAATACTAATTAGACACCTCACTGAGACACCTATCTATTCACATTCTCAAATCTGGCATTTGATCATGCTAGTAACAACCTGTCGCCTTTAACTACTGGACTATTTGTTACCCTGTGTCCAGTGCCTAAGAGCTTGTTAATTACCCAAACTCTCTTTCTATAGGTCTTGTTAATTACCCGTCTCCTGTCTCAGAGGACCTTGTTAATAACTTGCACAATCCCTCTAAAGAGGGCCTAACAACACATTAAAATTAAAGATGCTTTTCTTTTAGCACCTGTCAAATGCTGTAAATTGAGAAATTTTCACATCAGTGTATTAGCCTACTGTAGTGTAGATTAAAAAAACAAACATCTTTTTATAGAACGTTGCATGTAGATCTGGTTACTTTATGCAGGAATTTTATATTTAAATTGACATTTGTCCTTAGGTATGTTCATTGTATGGGACTGTCCAGTCAAACATCTACATATTAACTCCGTAAGAGCTTCTGGTAATGAATGAATTCAGTTTGACTGACAAAAGAAACCAAACAGTCTGTAAAAATAAACTTCCACAGCGGTATATTAGGATTTAAAACACATATTTAATCACTTCTAAAGAAGAACTGGGGTATTAGGGCATAATATAGACTAACTGGGTGCCTGTCTGGTCACCAATGGTAACTAGAAAGTGCTCCCCTGACGATTAGATTAGAGCCTCTGACTTATAGCACATTTTCCCATAGCATGAGTTCTACTTTGTATTTTAAAAACCCTCAGAACATGGACAGTTAAACACTGATCACATTCTTGTCAGTTACAAAATGAAAAACCTTTTCCAGAGACTCTCCTTTTTCATGCCAGTAAGAGCCAATAAATTCAGATAAGGACTCCATCAACTAATTGCCTGTAATTGTTTAGGTTGTTGTTGTTGTTGTTTGCAGTGAGGTGACAGAAACATGTGATTAATCTAATTTTGAATAAAGTTGAAGGCCATGCAAGGCTGCTTACAGTTATGCTACAAGAAGAAGATCCCAAACCACGCCTTAGTTACCGCCCAAGTTCTAGCAAAAAGGAAGGGTATTGAAAACAGATCAGCCAATAACATAATGCCCCTATATAAATCGATGGTGCGACCTCATTTGGAATACTGTGTGCAGTTCTGGTCACCACACCTTAAAAAGGATATTATAGCTTTGGAAAAAGTGCAGAAAAGGGCAACTCGAATGATAAAAGGGTTGGAACACTTTCCCTATGAGGAAAGGTTAAAGCGCTTAGGGCTCTTTAGTTTGGAGAAACGACGACTGAGGGGTGACATGATCGAGGTTTATAAGATTATGCATGGGATAGAGGAGGTAGAGAAAGAGGTACTTTTCTCCCTTTCTCACAATACAAGAACTCGTGGGCACTCCATGAAACTGCTGAGCAGTCGGGTTAGAATGGATAAAAGGAAGTACTTCTTCACCCAAAGAGTGATTTAACACATGGAATTCACTGCCACAGGAAGTGGTGGCGGCTACAAGCATGGACGGCTTCAAAAGGGAATTAGATAAGCATATGGAGCAGAGGTCCATCAGTGGCTATTAGCCACAAGGTATAGGTAGGGGCGCTGGGGCAAGTGATGGCATGTGAGTTTTTGCTTACGGAGGAAACATACCTTCGTCGCTTACAGAATTCTTCCAACCAATCAGTTAAGGTTAGAAATGGCTTTTCATGTTAGAAGTGCAAGGCTGTTTGTTAGTGGGGGAAGTAGAGGATAGAGCTTCCTACACAACAGCTGAGCTAGCTCCTTTACAGCATACCAGGAGCCATCTGGGGCAAAATAATACTTAAAAAAATACAAAGAACTATTTCAAAAGTCTATGGCCCTAATTAAAGCACAACATATTTGTGCTTGAAGACTTAATGGCTTAATGTTATAAAAATAGTGACGGTAAGACATAATATCTAAATAGAAAACCTTACCTAGAAGATGACAGCGTATTTGTCGGCTTGAAGCTGCTTGTAAAGGGATTAGTCGGATCAAAATCAAAAGTACCTTGATGATTTGCAACAAATACGTTGGTTATAAAAAGAAATTCATAACTTTGCTTTTAGAAGCTTTTGCAATTAATCTTTATTCCAACAGATAACTGGTTTACTTAAAGAATTCCTAATATAGGCACGACCTGGTGAAAGTTAAGCATATCCTAATCCCATCAATTTAAATGCAAGTTAATTAAGTATGTGCTCAACTCTCAATTGCTGAATCAATGGGATTTATATTCTAACCTTCAGCTGGATCATGGTCCATGCTATGTGTAGGAAAGTCCATATCTGTGCCTAAAGCACTCTTGTAAGATTTGTAAGATACTGTATAATGTTATCTGAATCTCTTTCAAAGTAACTCTAAAGACAGTTACAGGTATGGGAAAAAGCAAAGGGAAAGTTGGAGTGGGGAAGGCAGAATAGTATTTTTCCTCTGAGGACTTTATTTTCAATTTTTCTTTCAACTGAAAAACAGAAACAATGTGAAAAACTAAAAACAGCACTTACAGGAAAAAAAATTCCTTTGAGAGTAGTGAGTAGAATGCTTCTAAGATATGATTTTAAAATTTTGTTTTACTTTCCCTTTACTCCCTCAAAATGCTAGCTATCAATATAGTAACGATTTAAGGTAATTTACATGCATCCTAAGGTCACATACAGCCATCTACTCATCTTGCCTCCTTCAGGTTCTTTCATCTTTCATGGCATGTGCAAGAAACCAGTCTAGTTTCATAAATATACGCACCAAATCAAGAAATAAATACATGCATGCATTGTTTCTATCAATGGCAATTTTAATTTCTTTGAAGTTTACAAAAATAAAAATAAAACCTCAGAACTGGAAGCTAACTAATCTTTCAGAAAGTTTTCTGATTAGAAAAAGAAACTTCACGATAGTATTTTAAACAATTATTTTAAAGTGACACAGTAGGGGTAATTTTGTCCACAGTTTCAATGACACACTGTGTGTGTATATGTGATGTATTATTGAAGATATAAGTATTATAAAGTTTCTCAGGTTTATAGACAGTATATAACAATGCCAACTGTTAGGAGTGAGCCAGACTTTAGATTGTTAGTTATGGTGTATACTGTTTCTGGATATGAATGCAAGTTTTTTTAAAAAATGTTCAGATGATACAAACATTTCTTTTACTAAAAATTCAATGCAATCTATTTCTAATGGGGACAATTTTCCCAAATGACAAGAAATAAAGCATGTATAGGTATCATAAGGTACAGCAACTTGCTGCTCTTGCTTTAACACAATATATTTGTAACTTCTTTGACAGAGTGGATACTTAAAACTTGCATAACTATACCCCACCAATGCAATGTTATGAAGCTATACATAATTCATTTTACATTTATAACGTAAGGAAGTAAGTTCAGATTTGTTTAAAGTCAATATTGAATATATTTTGTTTTTTCCCAAAATTTTTAGAATTTCCCCACATAATTTCAAATTTTCTATTATATTTGGGCTTTAATAAATGGCAAAAAATGACTAGACATTAGTAATCTGGCAACTACTTCAAATTCACTTTGGTCTTAAATGAGAGATTGAGTG